GAAGAAGAAAGGTATATTGTAGTTGCGAATGGTTCGGGAAAAGGGAGACCAGGGCGCCCCACCAGATGGAAATGGGTTGGGAACGAGAAAGTTATGGATGGGTGTTGAATTGAGTAGTGAAATTGGATGATATAGCAACCTATTGGACAACACTCCTTTGAGAAATATCCCAAAATTGGCCCATCGATTGGTAGGCATAACGTCATACATATTTCAGTCTGTATTTTGACTTATGCGTCAATCTGTTCAAGATCATCGATGCCACCTCCGGCTTGCACACAAGAGACAATTCCTCATAAAGGACGGACTGCCCATCTTTCCTCAACCCTTCCAATTGCATTAGAATACGCTTTTTATCCTCAAACCCGAGCCTTTTGTACAACGGCCATGCAACTATGGTGCTCTCGAGCTGTATCGGAACGTTCTCCTTCACGCTGCGCTCCAAAACCATTCCGTATGAGCATCGTGGCCGCACCGCGCCTTTCATACCTGGGATGCGTTCCAATAAAGCTCAAACCTATGAGCACATAAGCAGCCATCGAGTATAATACAGGAAAAGATCAAGTCACCAAGAAATCAACAAAACTTACAGTAGCAAGGCGTACTACCAATAACACTGCTGCTCGCATCCTCCACTTTTCTAGCCCATTCATTCAGGATGTCCATCCTGGTGCCTTCGGGCCATCGCCAGGGAACCTCAACATACGAGTCGGCATCAAGGACAGGTCGCATCCATTTCGCAAAGCTAATGATCTCATTTTGATTGCGAACGACTAGCACAACCCATTGCGGATCGCGAATTTCTTCACGGGCTTTCTCCATCAACGAGATTCGCAATCCTGCACGTAGGGCGGGTGTTGGGACTCCTCCCCGAAGCATCATGTTCTCGCCGAACGATGCAAAATGGATATCTGCGATGTCGCCTGCATCGCATTCCTCCGCGTTTGAGAGTTTGAGGGACATGATGAAAAAGTGACAGCAGTCTAATAAGTAGTTAGAATAAACGAAAATATGTGATTTTTAGAAACATCTTCGACCTACTGCATGCCTCAAACGTGTCTGGTGGTTTTTATCATGAATGAGATTCCCGCTGCCAACTTCCGGCTCTTTGTAGTCAGGCTGTTTCTTTTCTCTGGAACCTAACGATTCAAGGCGTCTTTGTTAGACCCCTCTGTTTCCAGGAAGGTC